AATTTTTTTCATTCAGTATAATCTGATCATGGTTCCCCTGGCCCTTAACTCCTCCCAGATGTTCCTACCTTCTCATCTACCTACCTATCCAACTCCATGTCCTGTCTTTCTCTCATTCTTTAGGAAGCAAACCAACACATACACACACACACACACACACACACACACACACAGAATAAAAAAGGCAAAAAATAAGCACACACACACACACAAACCAAATAAAAATACAGTATCAGAAACTATGATATACAAGCAAAACACTAGTAAGATTTTTAAAAAAGCAATATGAAACAAAATGTCTACAAAAATACTATTGTGCTTATTTGTGTTGACCATATACTACTTCAGAATAGACCTGCACTTAAGTGGTTAGTGGGCCCAGTGAGATTTCTTTGGAAGGAATTAGATTTTCTGTTGGAAGCAGATGGGAATTAGAAAAGCAATAGGGGTAGGAGATCATGTCAACTTCCCCATCTTAGCCCTAGGACCCCAATGGGTTAAAGCAGACATAGCAGCATTCTGCAAACAAAATTACACAGCTAAACCACTCCAGGCATTTGTCTTTTAATCTCTCCTCTGAATGGCTAGAGTCAACGAGGCTGTGCAGATACTGATACTGACCCATGATCAGATCAAGCTATACCTCTCATAAAATTCCTTCAAGTCCTAAAATAAACAGAATTTGTCAAGGTCTATCCACACCTTCTTCTTGCTGTTCCTCACAATGGCCCCAAGTTCTGTAGGAAACTTTATGCCTCATTTTGCATCTGCTAAATTTTTGGTCTAAGGCTTTATTTCCATTGTTTGTCTATTCAGAGAATAGCCAACTGTTGTACAAGATACACTTCATCCTTCATATCTCAACGATCCTCTCATACGCCCAGACTCAGAGAACTCACCTACACTTCTAATATGACACTTGTCTCTTTATATAATTGTGGGAATATTAGAAATTCCTCTATTTCTAAACCTTCCACTTAATTAAATTTACAGAGATACTAATTTAGGTAGACGGCATGATGTTCCACTTCTGCAGATGGTGTCATTGCTTAACACATTGGGCAGACTTGTCTACTAGTTTTTTCATATTCAGTTTAATTTCAAGGCTTTCCAAACATTTTATAAGGAGCCTTTCACAGGAAATACACAAAAGGTCACGAGTGATGGTTATTTTCAGTTAAAACGAAGCAAGAGAGGGAGAGTGATGCTTTCAAATTTTAAAATACTCAGAAAAATTCAAAAGATTTGAATGGGCTTCATAGAAAAAAACAATTTATAATGGTAACCACAATTTCGATAGAAAGAACAAATTATCCTTTGCTGGAAAATTGCCTGCAAATTATAGAAGAGGAAAAGTGATTTTCAAATTGGAGAGGAACTTGTGAGAGAGGATGGTCAAAGGGCCAGATGCCTGTTCACTAAAATTTATTAAAGAGAAACCTAGAATTTTCCCAAAGTTTAAAATGTGATAGTTGAAATGCTGCCTACCAGGCAAGAGGTGCTGCTGGCAAGAGGTGGTCCAGAGGGTTTGAATGTGTTTGCATTGGCAAAGCCTCTAGGACAGAGTGGTTCAACCTTTCGAATGCTGTGACCCTTTAATACAGTTCTTCATGTGATGGTGACCCCAAACCATAAAACTATGTTCATATTATTATTTGCTCCTTCTTAACTGTAATTCAGGTACTGTTATGAATGGCAATGTAAATATCTGATATGCAGGATATCTAGTATGCAACCCCCAAAGGGATTTCCACCTACAGGTTGAGAACCCCAGTGTAGCAGATCCTGATCTAGATTGTTGTGTAAAGCTGCTTAATGAAATAAATATTGGTAAGGGGCAGACAAGAAAACAAGCATCTAATTATATAGAAAGTCCTGGCTCACGTTCTTATTTGGGCCTAAGTACTAACAAAACCAAATATTTATCCATGTGCACAGTCTCCTAAGCATCGGAAGCATGTTTGTGCAAGAAAGAAATAAAGGAGGAAGTAGAAAGCAAGGCAGAAGTGTCTGGTTCACTGGAAGCAGATAAAGCATAAACATAATGTCTAAATCGGGCAAGCTAAAGAGTGCTTCAATCAATACAAGAGATGGTTTGTAAAATCCTTCAGTGTGACTCAGAAATGGACATGAGAGCATGGGAATCCTAGCAGAGGTCCACCTCTAGTCCCTTGAATGCCTTTTGTTGCCTTGCTTGGATCTATTCGCAAAAATGTAGATCAAGTGAAACTTCTACATGAAGTTCTTATCTCCTCTTTCAAACATGAAACAATAAGAGGAAAAAAAGTGCAACCTAATGGGTCTGGGAGTGATTTTTGAAAATCAAGAGTAAAGGCTTCCTCTTCACTGGGATTCACTGTTCACCCACGTTGACCTGGACTGTGAACTTATGATCTTCCCACCTCTGCTACACAAGTACAGGGTCACAAACGTTCACCACTGTGCCTGGTAACCAGTCTATTTTTAACATTGGTCCCCTCAGGAAACTGTGCAACCCTTTCACCTTTCCAATTCTTGCCTTTCCCCAACTTTCTTAATTTCTCATATAAATTGCCTCCATTCTTACATTGCTCTTGTGTAAGTTGTAAGTGTCCAGAGCTTTCCATGTCTCAAAGAATCCAATTTCATGGAATGATAAGACCAGCTATCAACTGCATTCACAATGTGAGGTCAGCCAGATGATGAGGCATCTCCAAACACCTGCAACTCGCCTTCACCGAGTCCTGAATTGTAACTCACAACTGTGCAAAGGGAAGTTTTGTACATTCATTTGTTTAAGGATGCCTTCATTTTCTTTTATTAAATGTCAATAGGAATAAGGTCTACTTAGTTTCAGAAACTGTGGTAAAGCTACCTATTGTGGGTTTTCTGAGGAGAAAGAGAAAAATCTCCATGACTGTCTATGAAAAAAAAAAAAAAAAAAAGATTCGTTTTAAAAGAGTGCTATAGGTTAGTAGGAAATAACTTTCAGTCAAAAGGAATTTCTGAGGGTAGCTTAGCTCTAGAATGGATTTAGGAGAGAAAGAGAGAGACTCATTTCTTGTTCACTACCTTACTCTCTCTCTCTAACAAATCTACTACTACCCAGTCTTCATTGGTGTTATTGTTTTGTGCCTCTGTCATTGTTTATTCCTTGAATTCCTCTACCTGTAAAACCTGAGTGACAACATTTTACTCTTTACAGTAGCTTTGTTTGTTGCCAACAGGTATCTATAGCAACGAGTCATTTGTAAACTGGCTGACAATAGCAATCTGTTGTTTGTAAACTTTGAGCTTTTCTAGATCTGTCATCTCTACATTTCTTAGTCTGGAGCTGTCTTGCTTGTTTTTAACTGGAAGAGTTGATCTCCCTGAAAATTCTGCAATATTGAGCAGATTTGAAATCATTTTAGTTGTACACTGATGGACAAAAGATGAACCTACAGGATTTCCACAGGTATTCCATCAGTATCCATATGACTCCATGTGAAGCAACTTTCATCCATGTACTCAAACTGTTGTGTAAAGACACTTCGTTCTTTCAGTTTCTGCTTTCCCTATTTCTCCTTTCTGACTTTCCAAGCCACTGTTTTTTAAAAGCATTTTCTGTTTCCACTATGCAAATCACTACAATTCCTGAAAAGTGCACTCGTGCTAAAATTTGGCATTATACAGAAACCTCTTGAAAGTATCTTGGCTAGTTAGAATTTAAACACTCATCACTAAGACATCAGAGTTCAGCTAACTTCTATGAAACTTACTTTGTTTTTAACATCCATCACAAGTTTCAGTTCAGTAAAATGGGCTCATATACTACACTATTCTACTGCTTCACGAAGAAACCAAAGACTAGGAAGTAACAGTCAAAATCCAATGTGACAATGAGACAATGTGAAGATTGTATGTATTCCATTGAGTTCATAGCTTTAAACATCTCTTTAAGCATGTAAGTGGTTGAGTTCCAACCACTTACAAGTTTGACCTATTTAAGGTTGCCTTCAGCAAACATGGAAAAGATTTAATTCAAAAGCTACTTGAAAGTGTCTAGCCACAATCATTTTCATGTAAGATCCAAGGGAAGCAGCCTTCTCTCATGATCTTGCTGAACCCTCCATTTCATTTCAGCATGCTTTGTTGACACAGCCTGTGAACAGCGAAAAACTGTCAAAGGCATTGTAAATTCTTTTATCACTAAATGAAGTTTCTAGTAAATAAATCACTATGAACTACTTTAGCAAAATTAAATATTATCTCAAATCCGTTATTGTTCTCAAAATGTCTATTCCTAATGAATACGTGAGACAGCACTGATTACATGGAATAATCATAGAAACAAATATATGTACATATTCATATACAACACTTCTATATTTATGTTTGTGCACATATAGAGAAACAACTCTGGCCTTAGGCATTAAGACCTTATAGTAACTCTTATGTGTTCCTATTTAAAATTTTTACTTTAAAAATTACTAATTCAGTATACTTGAAATCTCCTAAACAAAATAGTTAAACCTATATATGTTCAAAAAGAATAGAATAGCCTACCTAGCCTGGGGGGAAGGGAGCATTAAATGAAATCATGCCTGGTGTTACTTCTGCTATGAACAAACCTTTAAAAACAAATAAAATAGACATTGCTAGAAGGTAAACAGAAGTTATAGAACTTAACACTTACTCAAAAAATAGTATACGATGCAATATAATGCATATTATATTCCAATATAGTAAATATCTGAGGATATTAAACTGGAAAAAAAATTCCCTTGGTTACCACGAACTAAAACCGTGATTTCTACATCTTGATTAAAATAAGACACTAATACATTCCAGTTATATTTCATCTACATTATAGCAAATCATAATTTGACTGCTTTAATATCCTGATAGCTGGTTATCACACAAGAAGAAAGCATAATTACAAGAGAGTTCTACATATCAAAGTGAAACAGGTATTGATTGAACTCAGCTTCATATTTGTTTAAAGTACAGAAAATTAACCTTCCAGTTTGGTTACCTACCAGCAGTGATTGGATTCTAGCAGTGTCATCACCTCTATGAACAGCTCCAAATTAAAGTCCCCCGTCCCATAACTTGAGCACAAAAGTCAAGGGTCTGTTCACAAGTAATGAATGGCTAGAACTGCTTGGAATCCAATAGTTGAGGAAGCAGAAAAGAGAAGTCACTCATTAGGGCATTTCCTGAACTCTGGTTGGAATTTCAGTTAAGGAAGAAGAAATGACACAGCAGTTTCAAGTTAAGGCGACTTCCTTTCTTTATCAGAAATATGCTACTAATTTGAGAAACGGCATTCCAGCTGAACTACACCTCAGTGCTGTGGCTACAAAGAGACACTCTGCCACTGATGCCATGATTGCCCCATAATGAACATTCTCCCCCCAGAATTTACAGAGGCGGTGTGTGGCTGTTATCAGAGTGGACTAAGACCCCACAGTTATTGCAACACATCTGCTGTACAATGGAGTTTCTTCAGAAAGCTGACCTTCCCCACTTTTCAGTTACGAATTGCACTTTGCGCCGAGTACTAATAGACTGAGGTTTTGCTTTAAGGCGATTTCCCAAATTTCACATAATGTAAGTTTTGTTACATCTCAATTGCTCTCAAGGACTTCATGATACATCTTGACCAAGAGTAATTGATCTTCCCAAGCATATTAGATAGAAATGCAAAATTTAATTGCTGAGATAAATACGTTCCTTCACTAAAAAGGAAACAAAAATAGCAACACCCTTCCTCTTAACCCTCAATGCTGCTCTCAAACCAACTATCACCTGTATTTATTTACTTATTTGTTTGTTTATTCCTTTCTTGTACTCAATCAGATTAGATTGATATGAGTGGCTAAATATGACCTTTTAACCAGAATCCCAAATGATTCTATTAAGAATCCAGGTCAGGAGCCAGTAGATGAGTCTAATTTTGAAAACAAAACACAAATGTCTTCCATAAGGGAATTTGAAACACTTTGCTTGCAAAGAATAAGATAAAACATTGTGTGCTTGTCAAAGCACACACCATTTATGACTCCTCAGCTCTATGACTGTAATGGCATACTTACAAACTCTACAAATGGATGGCTACAGTAGCATCTGATTCCTTTGTCTCCATTTGAAAGCTACAGAGAAGTGTGTGCTCCCTGCTTGAGATTCCACATTTTATGTACTCTTTTAAAAACTTCTGACCAGAACACTTCAACTAGCTTCACTAATATTATCAGTGGCAGCCATTTTTCAGTCCCAACTTCTTTTCTACACCAAAGGCATATATGTATTAAGCCTTTGATGTCTTCCTCCATTTCTATCAGTGAATATCAGTTGTATAGAACCTTCATTGTCATGTTCTTTCAGGGTAACATACTCAGACACTCTCCCATCTCGAAGGTGTTCAGATGAGCTCTTCCATTTCCTTCTTTTTTTCTCCGATTTCTACAATGGAAACATCTGCAGGGTCTTACTTCCTTCTGCAGCTGCACTCTTATCCACGGCTTCAACAAAACCTCTGTCTGCTGGAAAGGAAACTGACATCCGCTGAAGTATAGGCTATTGCTGTGGTTCAGATCTCAAATATTGTCCAAAGGCTTGTGTGCTAGAAAGCTTGGTCTGAGCTTGGCACTCCTGGGAGAGAGTAAAACACTTGCACAAGCAGGAATTGGTAGAAGGCACTGAGCACTGGGGACGTGCATTGAAAGAGTTCTGTGGGTTTCCAGTGCAGGTCCTTGTGCTTTTCTCAGATCCTGAAGTGAGCAGAACCCTTCTGGCAGCCATTCTTCCCACAAATCACCTTCCAAGCCCCAGAGTAGTAAGTCAACTGATTTTGAACTAAAAACATCCTAGTATTGTGATCCCAAATATACACTTTTCTTTGGGCATTTGTTTCAAAGACCAAAAAAAAAAAAAAAAAAAAAAAAAAAATCTATGGAAGTACAGATATACAGCTATTGTGACCACTTAGAATAAGTTTTGGCACATAGTAGATAATATGAATTAAAAACAATCCATAGTTTTAGTTACATTAGCTTCTACAGCAAAACAATACTTATTCATTTATTTATGATTTTGTTTTCTATATTTTGTAGGGTAATTCACTCCTGAAATTTCAAATATATGGCCACCTAAACAAGACCTGCACAATGAAAATACCGGCTGACCTGCAAATAGGGATGGGAGAAAGGCCCAACTGTTTCTACCTTCCAAGAGCTCCCACCCAGGTGATTTTTTAAGGATAAATCACTCACTGTTTAAATTAGTTTGTGACAGTAAATTAATGATTTGGTTAAAAACATTGTGAAATAGGAAATAAAACTGATGCTAGGATGAGAGTCTTTTCATTAGACCAGGCCTTTGGAAAGACAGAGGGATGAGGTGAGAAAAAAAGAGAGTTTGGTTTGCAATAGTCATGAAGGCAGCGATAAGTAAGAGATGATGTTTAAGTCAAAAATATTGACAACTCACACAGAAAGGTTTCTGGTTGTCATATAACAGATAGCATAACTTTGTAAATGGATTCTGAAAATATTTTTACTTACAATTCTTATGTTAAGCCTTCAAAAGCAGGAAAAACATATATTTCCTGTTATTTCAGTTATTATCTTCACTTAACTCTCAAAAGTAAAAGGTCTTTGAACAAAAATTCCTTCTAACAAGAGTTGATTTTTTTTTTCATGGAATTGTGGTTATATTATGCCCATAGGAATCCCCTCGTGTGTGTGTGTGTGTGTGTGTGTGTGTGTGTGTGTGTGTGTGTGTGTGTGTGCGCGCGCATGTGTGTATTCACGTGCATATGTGTTTGTAATTTATACATATCTAGTAGTTACAGATAACAATTATTTTATTAAAACTTTAAATGTCAAACATTGAAAAGAACTATAATATCCTAAAAATTTAAAACAAAGGAAAAGACAAATTTCATAACACAAACTCTAAACTCAACATGTCAAAATAACAAGTCAAAAATAAGATATAATATGTAGAACTATTTTATGCTACTTGTTGATAGAATCTATATCTAGAAAGTTTAATGTTATATACATGACTATTGTCAAAGAAATACCATCCAAAAGCTTGATTTCATTGGCACTTTGGCTAAAGACAGAACTTAAAAGCTTTTTTATATGTGTGTTGAGAGCAAGTGCTGCTTAGATAACACTTGAGGAAAAATAGTAAATGGCAAATCTAATATGAGGTCCAGTATGAGTAGCATTTTAGATATTATTAGTAAGCAAACTATTTGTAAACATTTAAAATATCTTTTAAAACTGCACTAAAATATACTAAAATAATGAAGTTCTTAACTAGAAATACTCCCTGCAGAAGTGCTACTGGATATGTTCTATGCATGGGCATTGCTGTAGAATGACAGGAGTAGAATGTCTTCACTTCTAAATACTTTTCGTCCATGTCAACAAAATCTGGGAAGATAAACCCATTGATTTCTCAACAATCTCAGCAGAAATTCATACACTTGCTGTTGTTCCATCAATAGCAGTAAAAATACTCAAAATAAGCAAATTACTTCCCAAAGTTTTCTGTCCCCAACATGTCAGGTTTGAAGAATAGAAACTTCTAGAAACCCTATGGCATAAATATAAATTAATTTTCTATAATTCTAAGAATGTTAAGATTTCTCTAGAGCTTAGATTTAATTGTAACATGCACTAGAGTATTAAACAAAGATGAAGTCCAACTAAAAATTTTCAAGTAGACAAAATTAGCTTCCAACAATCAATCTCTTTTCCCTTTTTCCTGTTTCCAGACAGGTGCCACGGTCCCTTATTATCTCTCCATTTCTTATGCTATCTAAAAGTATTTTTAGAAAACACTTTAATTCATTACATACCTTAGTCACTAAGGAATAAACGACTGATAAGAATTAAAATAACCTCCCCAAAAGGAATTTATATTCAAAGTTAATATGACCTTAAAGAAGAGAAAATAAACTTAATGTTGAAAAGGAAGGGTTATATGCAAACATCTTCAAACAAACAAACAAAAAATTCTCATGTAGTCTTCCATTTACTCTGAGCATCGTACACAGAGATGTGACACCATGCTATCTGTAAAATAATAAAAGTATATCTTCTTTCTTTGTAATGTTAGGGTACTCCAAATTAGATAGCATCTCTCATGATTGACACATCAACTCCCTAGAGATTAGAAAAAAATGACAAGTCTTCTACAATTATCCTCTGTCAGACAGGATAGAATGGAATTAGCTGTCATAAAAACAACTCCAAATCTCTGTGTGTGTGTGTGTGTGTGTGTGTGTGTGTGTGTGTGTCCCTCCCTCTCTCTCTCTTCTCTCTCTCTCTGTCTCCCTCCCTCCCTCTCTCCCTCCCTCCCTCTCCCTCCCTCCCTCCCTCCCTCTCTCTCTCTCTCTCTCTCTCTCTCTCTCTCTCTCTCTCTGTGTGTGTGTGTGTGTGTGTGTGTGTGTGTTGTTTGTAATAGTGGCAATGTTTGTTCCATCTGGTCACTTAGGGACCTAGGATGACAGACACTCATCTCAAAATATGATTTCTGCACACTGAGGGTAGAACATAGAGTGTGGAGAATAATAAACAGCTCTCGAAGATTCTGTAGGAAGTGATAGTCACAATTTCCATCCATTGTTTATTGTTCAAAGCCTCAATGGTTCTACCTGCTTCTAAAATCAGTGAGCATTCAACCTTAACACGAGCTAAGAAGAGACAACTTGGTTTATTTCATTGGAACAGAGGCTATGACAATCTGACTTGTTGCCAATAATTGCATTTTCAGCAAACATAGTTCTCCTATAATGTTGTTATATTGAACAAACTTAATCCATGAAATAAGCTGTAAGTGTATTTCTCATCCTTTATAGGAACTAAAAATGAAAAGTCAGAAGAAAAGATCAGAAAAGAGTTATCGAAAGAAAGGAAGAAGCATGAAGAAAAACACTTGACATTGTTGGAGGCATCAACTGGAGATGATACTACAACTAATCCACGTGTGCATATTTCAGAGTGCCTTAAAACTGAGTCAGAGAAGTGGCTCAGTGGTTACGACTGCTGAATGAATTTCGTACACTCTTTTAAAATAAAATTCCCTTCTTGAAATAGAAATCTACTATGACTGCCTGCACAAAATCTGCACCAAAAAGAAACGCGAAAGT